ATCAAGGCTGTTCACCCGATTGATTGGCAGGAAGTGGGTAGGTTAGAAATGGAGTTAAACAGGCAGTGGGAGGCTGAGGAAGAGTACTGGCAGCAGAAATCTCGAGTCCGATGGTTGAAAAGAGGGGACAAGAACTCTTCTTATTTCCATACGGTCACGCGAACCCGGCGTAAAAGAAACTTTGTTGCTGGTCTTTACAATGAGGATGGGGAGTGGGTCACGGAGGAGCGTGGGAAGGCTGATATAGCCAACGGCTTCTACCAAACCCTCTTCACCACGGAAAGCCAGGTACATAATATGACTAATAGGGTGGCGGATCTCCCGATTGCGGCTAGTATTACCCAGGAGATGAATGCAAACCTCACTGCGGTAGTCAGTCCGGAAGAGATTCGGAGAACTGTTTTCAGTATGGGTTCGAAACAGGCGCCAGGCTCGGATGGTTTTACGGGGAAATTCTTTAAAGCGTTTTGGGGGATTGTAGGGAATTCAGTGATTGATGCGGTCAGTTCTTTCTTCGAAACTAGTCGGATGCTCCGCAGTTTCAATCATACCTGGTTAACCTTGATCCCCAAAGTGGACCAGGTGGAATCCATTAGACAACTCCGCCCGATTAGCCTATGCCAGTTTGTGTACAAAGTAATTACCAAGATTATGGCGGAAAGGTTAGCGGGAGTGCTGCCTGAAGTTATCTCGACGGGGCAAAATGCGTTTATTCGGGACAGGCAGATCGTAGAGAATATCCTCCTAGGGCATGAACTGATGCACTATCTGAAAATTAAAACCCGTGGGAAGAAGGGATACATGGCTCTCAAGGTTGACATGGAAAAGGCCTATGACAGAGTTGAATGGTCCTTTCTCCTTGCGGTTTTAGAGAAGATGGGGTTTAGTTCGGTATGGAGAGGATGGGTGCAGGAGTGTTTGCAATCGGCTTCTTTCTCGGTTCTCATGAATGGAGCTCCCTCAGGATTTTTTCAGTCTTCTAGGGGGCTCCGGCAGGGGGATCCTCTCTCTCCCCTTCTCTTTGTGCTCTGTACGGAGGGGTTTGCAGCCCTGCTTCGTAAGGCCATTTCGGAGACGAGGTTAGAGGGGGTCAAAGTTGCGCCTCGGGCTCCTCGGATATCTCATTTATTCTTTGCTGATGATTCTTACTTGTTCCTTCGCGGCTCGCTACAGGAGTGTGAGAATCTGATTGAAGTTCTGAATGAATACGAGGAGCTAAGTGGTCAGAGAGTGAACTTGAATAAGTCGGCGGTTTGCTTTAGTAAGAATATCTCTCTGCCTGATCAGGAGTTCTTAGGGGCCATTCTTGGGGTGGGGGCTGTAGAGGTGCAGGATATGTATCTTGGCCTCCCTACCTTAATAGCGCGTTCCAAGATGGCTACTTTTCGCTATTTGGAGGAGAAATTGATAGAGAGGTTACAAGGATGGAAGCGGAGGACGCTGTCGTGGGCGGCGAAAAAGACCCTGATTAAGTCAGTGGCTTTGGCACTGCCTTTACATGTGATGTCTTGCTTTAGGCTTCCACTTTCTCTTTGTCGCCTGCTGGATAAACATGTTGCTCGATTTTGGTGGGGAGAGGAAGATGGCCAGTCCAAGATTAGATGGATGTCTTGGCGGAGCTTATGTCGCAGTAAACATGAAGGGGGGATGGGTTTTCGTAGGTTTGAGTTATTCAATCAAGCCTTGTTGGCCAAGATAGGGTGGCGAATTTTGTCTGAACCCCAGTCTCTATTAACCCAGGTTTATAAAGGGAAGTATTTTCCCTCTGGCTCGTTCCTCTCAGCTAAGGCTTGGTCTCGCCCTTCTTGGGGATGGCAGAGCATTCTGTTTGGGCGTCAGTTACTTTCTAAGGGCTTACGTTGGCAGATTGGGAATGGTCAGACGGCTGCATTGCTTGAGTCGAATTGGGTCCCCCAGCAGCCCAACTATCCCCTGGTGTTTAATCCCCGTGTTCTGCCGGCGGATGGTGAAGTACGAGTTGCTGAGGTGCTTTGTGCAGGGGAAGGGCGCTGGTGTGATGAAAAGCTTGGCCAATGGTTTGATCCCCCAACCTGTAGAGTGATTAAGGCGATCCCCCTTCCGAGACAGGATGTTGATGACCGTTTGATCTGGGAAGGCACAACTGATGGTGTCTTCTCGGTAAAATCAGCGTATCACCTTGCGGTTGGGCTGGATCAGCAGAGTGGTCGTTGGAGAGCTCAGGTTAGCTGGATGGATAGGGAGAATTGGATCCGGCTGTGGAATTCCAATATTCCCCCTAAGCTTAAGGTGTTTGTCTGGCAAATTTTTAATAGAATTCTCCCAACGACTGAAGCGTTGATTGAGCGGGAGATTGAGGTTCATCCGAGATGCCCGGTTTGTTGGGATGCGGTGGAGACAATGGAGCATTTGTTCCTGACCTGTCTAGTGGCTAGGGCACTTTGGAATCAGGCTGGTTTGGAGTATCTTGGTGAGGGTTTGCCTCAATGTACGTTCCCGTTTTTTCTGAAGAAGTTGTTCTCTATCCTGCATCAACCCACTCATTTCATGATGATTACTGCTATCCTCTGGAGGATCTGGAAATCTCGTAACTGGGTTGTCTTTGAAGGGAAACAGTTTGGGATTCCTGCCTTAATGAGGCAGTATAATCAGCAGATTAATGAGTGGCTACGTTTGCCTCCGGATCCTCTTTCCGGTTCGGGTGTTAACCAGCAGCAACCTGTGGTGACAGGAGATGCGGTTGGGGGGCCTGTGTGTCGGTGGGATGGGGCAGTGCGTAGAGGGTCGCATTCTGCGGGTGGGATTGTAGCTTGTGATGAGGCGGGGGGCGTCCTTGGGGCGATCGGGTTGCAGTTCCCTTTCATTGAGGATCCTATGGTGGTGGAGCTTTTAACCCTCCGGGAGGCTGTCTGCTGGTGTTTGGAGCATGGCTTTTCGGAGATGCAGTTTGAAGGGGATGCCAAGGTGGTCATTGATAAGGTTTGCCAGGAGGATATAAGGGATAGTCGTGTGGGGGCTATTCTGGAGGAGGTGGTGATGCTGCTAAGGGCGAATGCCAGCTTTAGGGTGCGATTTATAGGTCGGGATAGCAATAGGGTAGCTCATTTGGTAGCTAGGAAGGCCCTGTCTTTGTCCCCGGCTATATGTCGGTCTTTTGATTTTCTGGCCTGGCTGAGATCCAGGATGTAACTACCTATTTTTCAATCAATATATAATTATCTTTTGTCAAAAAAAAAAACTATAACTACTTAATCAATTTGGGGATACAGACAACCGACCAAAACATGAGAATTCATTGGTAAAAATTATGACATATCCAAAAACAGAAGCATGATCAACACAATACATTCAAGGGTCACTCATTTATCAATCCCTCTCCCCACCATCTTAAATAAAGTAACGAGGGAAAATAATGGGCCATAGTACATTTTATAAGCTCATCATGATCGACACATAACAAATCAATGAAGGAGATTGAAAGGGGACGAAGAGGGAATCAAAGATAAAGCACTATGCAAGTCTCTTATTGATTTGCTCATCTTGGGATAACATCACTATCATTTCATATTCCATGCCAAAATATCGATTATCGACGGCATGCAATAGTCATTTGAAAATTATTTTCTGAATGGTTTTGACATAGCATGTCAAAAATCAATTCACCGGCATAATTCTATGTGTATATCCAAGTAATATCTCCATTGTTACCAAATTACAAGAGGTAGAGTAATTTGACATATAGGATTCTGTTCATGTTCTACTCTATGTAGAGAAATGTCAAGTTAAGTCTCTCTCTTGTGTATTTATATTTTTATTAAACAAATTCCACCATTCATTTATAAATAATCAGAGTTTTTATTTATACGCGTGGTGTTTAACTAGGTACCATTTCCTGATTGCAGGTCCCCGTGGGAAGGGGAGTCGAAGTTGGCATAGCAGTAACGACATCTGGGTAGGTAATCATGAAAATGAGGGGGATTCTTCGGCGAATATGATTTTTGTTCCTTTGACGGGCCTGTATGTGAGAATTTTCATGCGGTGGATGGTCTGGTGTTATGAGAGATGTCAAGTACTGTGGAGGGTGCACACGGGATGATCTACTATGGTCTTCAAAATCCGATACTAGTTTTCGGCACTGTGGGATACAATCAGGTGGTGATAGCTCTGTGGATTCGACGTTGTGTGGATTGAAGGTGATGCGAAGGTTATTATTGATAAGGTGGACGCTAGTCAAATTTGGGATGCTGCTGGCAGTGGCTTACTTGAAGAAATTCGTCATCTTATGTCGTCTTCACCTGGGTTTCAGGTTAGGTTTATGGGTAGTCCATATGGTGGCTAGAAAGGCCATATATTTGTTTCCTACAAGTTATAATAGCTTCGACTTTCGAGCGTGGCTTTGGTCGGAGCCAAAATTTGTGTAATTTTATGTTCTTGTTAATACAAGTGAGCTTTTCGTAGAAAAAAAAACTAGGTACCATTTCCCATGCCTATCGACTAACAAGGATGGATCAATTCCCACGAATGTACGTGAAACGACGGTGAGATAAGGGCAGCCCTTTTGGTCTAACAATTCCTAATCACACATCATTACCCTTCTAATAATCTTAGGTGCCCTGTCCTAGATTCCATCCATTCCCAAGTCCTAACTTAGCCCTACGATTGTTATATAATTGATGGTTACCTGCTAACTAGCTAGCTAATCAATTTGCTGACTTCATTTGTTGCAATTTGCATCCCCCATTTTGTCACTAAAGGCTGCAAAGTAAAGAGGGTTAAAGCACGCACAAGGCAAATTCTCAAGCCTCACGCATTTGCCCTCTTTCATTTGTTTTCTTATGCCGTGTCAAATACTGCAAAGTGACTCATAAGTCAGTCATACCTAATCTTGTTTAGGCCACTCAAGTTGAAGTGTTATCAAATTTTCTAAACTCTATAATGAGGCGAAGGTTGAGGCTGAGCTCGTACATGGTGGTTCTTTTCAAGTCATTAGTCAGGATACTTGAGGTCTTGAACTTGGCTGAAGAAGATTATCATTTTTCTTGGGAGAATGTCGCATATGTATACTGTATTTGAGCATATAGAACATATTCTCGATAGAAGGATTATAGATGGTTCATTGGACCTAGGGCGTGCTAGGTAGCTCCTCAACTTGTCGTTCGCTGACTTCATTTATAATCGAGTTTTCGGCTCTAGGATAATGTTTTTGCTTGCATATATTTGGATATGTCATAAAAGATTAATCGATGAGACTGTCAAATCGAGTACAATAGACCTCGAGGTCTTCAATTTTTTACCAGGTGAACTTATCAAGGGTGACAGAGAAATGTACGCTAAACTCGCAAAGGATGTTGACCAACATGAACTTTCCATGTCTAGTGAGCCTCTATGGTTCTTAAGTTCCATGCTAAACCTTGGATGAAAAAAGCAACTTAATTGCACATCAAGAGTAAAACATGTTGCCAAACAATAAATTAAAGGGACTAAATCTATACGTTTATCTAAAGTTCGATAAGACCCCACACCAATCGCTACACAACTGTGTAATTCACTTGATCAAAAGAACAGAGTGGGGTTTTCCTTTCTATATTCAGAACAAAAAAAGTTGTGTGATTCGCTTATGTCCTTTTCCCTTCTCTGTTTCGCCCTTTTTCTTCCAAGCTCCAACTCTATGTTGGGTTAGTGCTGAAAGCTGATTGCCGGGGACTTCGAGTGGTTAAGATTGAAAGTGACTACGAACAAACCAACGAACCAACGGACAAACGGAACCAAACTTCCTATGTACTATATATAATTTCAACAAAGCTTCTTTCCCAATTGATTATTCCATCTTCCCCACTTCTTCAATTCATTCATCACCATCTTCTTGTACAACCCTTCTCTAGCTTATCTGAGTACCTGAGCTGAGCTCAATCAGCAACTGCCGACCAAGCTACAAATGTAAGCAAAGCTTTTTTATGCTTCTCCCCTGTTTCCAGCTCCTGGGTTCTTAGTTCTTACAAAGATCGCATCTTTTTCGCTTTTGGGATTCTGAATTTCTTGTTGTTTTGGATTTTGTTATTGTTGGTTTGATTTGGTTTTGGGTTTTGGTGCAGCTGGAGTGGAGGAAAGGGAAAGCGAATCCAATTGCGAGCAACTTGAGAGCCAGGCTGCGGCTGAAGCCTATGCCCTTGATGAACGTGTTTCATGATGGTGATGGCTTCCCCAGGATCGTTCTCGCCGACCCTTCTGGCTCATCAGCTGAGGTACCCTCTCATTTCTCTGTTCTTCTGCACCATAATTTGGCTATGAGGAAATGAGGATGTTAGGGTTGCGCCAATTTGACACACACTTTGTCGACAACTGTGGTTTCCTGCAGGTGCTTCTGTATGGGGGGCAGGTTGTCTCATGGAAGAATGAAAGGAGAGAAGAACTACTCTTTATGAGCAGCAAGGTGAGTATGTGAACTTCTGAAATGAAACAAGATAGTCTTCTGATGTTTTGGTTTACTCACTTGTTGTGTATGACATGGTTCTAGTTATAACTTCAATAGATATTTATGTTGCCTTCATTTTTTGGTGCAGGCCATATGGAAGCCACCTAAGGCCATCAGAGGGGGACTACCAGTCTTCTTTCCTCAGGTTAGGGATGAAGTCTGCAAAGTGTTATAGTTCTTGTCTTGCTCCATTTGCTTAGGGTAGGGGAATCCATATTTTGCTTACCCATTACAACTTGATACAGTTTGGAAATCTTGGTACTTCGGAGAGAAATGGATTTGCTAGGAATAGATTCTGGACGATAGACAGTGATCCTTCACCTTTGCCTCCATCGAACAACCATTCATCGGTCGATCTTTTGTTGAAGTCCACAGATGAGGACCTGAAGATCTGGCCTCGGAGGTATGCTTGCTTTCATAATCTAAAAATTAATCCAATAAGCAAACAAGTAAATATCATGTGCTATGTTCTGAACTACCAACATCTCCCTTTACTTGATGAGCAGCTTTGAGTTGCGGCTTCGTGTCTCCCTTAGTGCTGGGAAGCTCACTTTGATACCTCGCGTGAGAAACACAGATACCAAACCTTTCTCTTTCACATTTGCTCTCCGAAACTATTTATCTGTATCAGATATCAGGTATGCACAGTAAAATCTTATGATGAAAGTTGTGGTCCTTACAATATCATGAACTTGGACTGTCTAAATTACACTCTGGGCTTTGTTTTATTGCAGTGAAGTGCGTGTTGAAGGCTTGGAGACACTTGACTACTTAGACAATCTTATGAGGCGAGAGAGGTTTACTGAACAGGCAGATGCAATCACTTTTGATGGCGAGGTGAGATTTCCATTGATTCTTTAAGCTTGCTACAAGTATCAACCAAATGCTTTTGAAATTATAATAGGAGAATGGTGGTGTTCTTTCCTGCAGGTTGACAGAATATATTTGAGCTCTCCACCGAAGATCGCCATTATAGACCATGAGAAAAAGAGAACTTTTGTGCTGCGCAAGGATGGGATGCCTGATGCAGGTAACTTTGAAATGTTCTCTTCATTTTTTGTGGGGATTTGAGATCCTAATAATGAGGCATTTGTTTTTCTACCATCAGGTATGTGGAATCCTTGGGACAAAAGGGCCAAAACAGTGCCTGATTTGGGATACGAGGACTACAAAACCATGTTGTGTGTGGATTCTGCTGTCACTGAAACCCCAATCGTCCTAAAACCTTTAGAAGAATGGAAAGGCTACCAGGAGCTCTCTACTGTTTCATCAAGTTATTGCAGTGGGCAATTAGATCCTCGAAAGGTTCTTTACGGTTTCTGATGAACTTGATCAGTTCACGTAGTGTGGATAAGTAAGATTATTGACTCAACAACCTTTCTCCCAATAAGTTATACATGCTACTAGTAGAAAAGCAATCAAATTTAGGGATCTGGTGTTGCAGTGAGTCAATTCCACATTGTTGAGCAACAAGATATTTGTATGTTGCCTCTTTGTGATGATATGATATTATCAATATGTATGAGATGTAGTTAGCTAGAGCGAGCCTCGACATCTGATTGGACGAATTGCAGTTGATTCTTATCACACTTGTCATTGTCATGGCTAAAGATCAAGTTACACTTGGTAACATAGAATGAAACAGGAAAGTTTGATTGATTGTCATGATGCCCTTGTGTTATTGAGCAGCTAGCTACACCAGCTTCTTATTATTGATTGTCTTGGTACGAGTTTGATGGAGGTTTCTAGGTGTTTTAGAACATAGAAAGCAATTGCATCCCAAACTTCTCCTTGGCTTCCTTGTCTAATGGATCATCTCCCAAATACATGTTAACATATGCCCTGCATAGAAGCTCGCTCTCAACTTTGCTGATGACCTCATCCACCACTGCACACATCAAACACAAAATTGTTCAGTGCTTCCAGTCTATTTTTTCCAGAATCCATTGCATTTGTGTTATGCTATAAGTAAGACTCCACCTTTGGTTTGGAGTACATTCCCTGGTAGCCGGGAGATCTCAATCACAGAGCCACTCGACAGCTTGATTCCATCAGAAGCTGCACCCATCACCCTGCAATCAATCATCATCAACAGGTATCATGAATTTTTCAAATTTGCAGACTGAAACCAACATTGCTGAAGTGCTAATGGTCCTACTTGTTGGCGAGATCATCGTTCTTCTTCCCTCCAGTGAGCTTCTTGATAGATGCTCCGAGACCTTCATCAAAGTTCTTCTTGACCATGTTCATGGTCAGCGAAGAGAACACAATCACCAGCCTCACTGTCATGGCTGAATCACTGTCGATCACCGCCTGGTACATTTCCTTGGTTAGTTTAGTGGATTCCTTGCTATCAATCTTTGTCTTGAGATTCTCTTTCAGCTTCTCCTTGTCATAATACATCCCTGCAAATTAGAAAAGATGACAACTTTTGGTCATCATAACAAGAACAGTTCCTGGGTTCTGATAATATAGAGACATGAATGATTATTACCAAAGCCGTAGATCTTGATCCCCATGCCAAGCATGGATTTCTTCCTCAAACCAACGGTCATCAGTTCCTTCCCATCAGTCAGCTTGACCGGGAACGAAACCCCAGTTTTCGGCTCTACTTCAACTGCAACTTCTTCTGCTGCTGCTGCTGCTGCAACTTCCTCTTGTTTCTTGGCTTGATCAAGAGTCTCGGCTGCCACCTTCGTTTCATCCTTGAGTTGCATCCCATTGAGCTTCTCCTCCAATGGAGGAGTTGTGTGCTGATTATCAACATTGACAATGTTCTCAGCAATGGCTGCCATTTCTTTTGCTACCTAACTAGCCTTGTGGGAAGATATTGAGAGAAGTAGAGTTGAGCTGTAGAAATATGTTGCTTTAGTTGGTGATGGAATAAGAAATGGCTATTGGTTTATATAGCGAGATGGGTAGTGAATGACCAAAAGGAAGCATTAAAAGCATTTTTGCCACCAACAGATTGGCCCTGCCTTAATAGTCGGTGCATGTTCTTTTCTTTGGTTTAAGTCAATATAAAGGACATTACTACCTTCGTTATTTGGGGGTCTTAGACTCTTAGAGTAACGTGATCAACTCAAAATGTGACCTTTTTCAGATCTACTTGCTGAAAATGCTGTAATCTCAAGCAGCATAGAGGCTAGATCGTGCAAAACCCAGTAACCCACCATGTTCTTATTCTAGAAGGAAAGGCTTAATAGATAAATTGCCCCATCAACCTCTGCTTTCCAAAGTATCATTACTGGTATTGGGTCACCCCTCCTCCTTCATCTTAAATGCTTAAGAACTAAATTACACTAGATATCGTCGAAACGGAATGGATAAAAAAGGCATAAATTACGTCAAAAAATACATTATTCATGATTTTCTATTTGTGAGTGACAAGGACACTGTGTTGATGATCATTATTTGCTCAATAAATAGATTTTATTGATGGATAAATTGTCTATTTTGATAATCTATTAAATGAATGTCACACATATCAAGGAGTTTTTGAGCCTTATGAAATACTAGCTTGAATTGAGTTGTCCAAAGTGGTGAAATCGATTAATTTCAAGTGAAGGACAGAGAAGGACTTTGAATTGCTCAATCTTCTATAGGTTGGAGTTATTCCTTTTCCTGGATGGACACAAGACCAATTAATGCAACACACAATTTGGTGTTTACACGTATGTGAATGTATATGTATATTTGGTATTTGTAGGTATGCTTACATACACTTTTAAGTTGCATTTGATCAATGTAACTTGCAATTTCGTCATAATAAGATAAATGACTTACGGTATAGTTGAGTAAAACTATGAAAAGTATGACTAGTCGTCTTTAAATATCAACATTCATATCATATTGTTGTGTATTACTTTCAAGACTCGTATAAAATAATTGAAGTGATCAACAATAAATTTGTGAGGCTATATTGCCTAGATATCGCGTCCATCTCACCGAAAATTGAATTCCTCTGTAATCCATCATGCGTACTGGTTTGCGATTATAGTCGACATTTCATCACTTCTATATCTCTTTCAACATTCTTGTACTTATAAGACATTTAATTTAAAAATTAAGGTTTAAGAATGAAACTTAGCGTTTGAAGAGTTATATATCAAGGATAACCTTAATCAGAAGCAAAATCAAGAGACAATGGAGTAATGAAATAACACAAATTTACATCTCCCACTACCAAATAGGAGCTATAAAAGTAAACGTTGTTCTCAAATTTTGGTTTATTATTAGGTTATCCACCATCAATAACAATGACTTAACTTGTCACAAAAGTGGTTTTCACAATTTCAGTGGTAAAATAATATTTCAGTGAGATACCACTTTCGAGTCCAATGTATTGACCCATGGGCTTGGTTGGATGTTCATTTACCTCTTAGGCTCTTCGGTCGTGCTTTAGAAGAAGGCGGGAGAAGCCCATATCGGCTGAAAGGCCCATAGCAAGTCCAGTTCTCTGTCTCATCATCATCCTTCCCTTGGCTTCTCAGCTCTCGCCTTTACAATTACAGGGAAGAGTTAAGTCGCAGATTTGCAGTAGCGGAACAGAGAGGGTTTTAGAAATTTGTACGAGGGCACTATGCCGGAAGCTAAGAGCAGAAAGCGCAAGAGAGGGAAGAAGACTGGCAGCAAGCCGCAAAGTCAACAACAGAAGGAGATTAAGTCGAACGACAACACAAAGGCCAAACATGGTGGTCAAAGTAACGAACTTGCTGCAGCTACGAAGTGGCCAAAGCCGTCGTCTTCTTCTTCTTTCCTTGATAAGGTCCATGTCTCTCTTCCCACCTTGCTCTTCTTCTCTCAGCAAATGGTTCGTAGAAATCAATTGATGGATCGCTGATGAACTTAGTATTTGAATAATTGCAGATGAAAGCCAGATTAGCTGGGGGGCATTTCAGAATGCTGAATGAAACGCTCTACACTTGCACGTAAGTGTCCTCATTTCCTTCTTCTGGGTTACTCTCTCTTCCCTCTTCTCAATTCTCATTGATGGGTATTTGGCTTTATGTGAATTGAGCAGTGAATGGTGGCACAGTCTTTGGTTTTAATCTGTTACTTATTTGTTCCCCTGGTAGTGCTGCTTGTGCTTTTGCGCCTGTTAGTTAGAGCATGAGTCTTATTCCAATCGATTTTTCGGTGTTCAATGTTGTTCTTCCTTCTCTATTTTCAGTGGAGGGGAGGCATTTAACTATTTCAAAGAAGATCCATCGTTATTTAACATGGTAAGGCTTCCTTATCCTTAACGTCTATCTTATTCTTCTCTTTCTCCTATACCTTGGAGATTCATTTCATTTATACTGGCCCTGAACTCGTATAAAGCTGACTATGCAAGTCATAGAGCTTTCACAATTGCCATTGCATGAAAGTAAAGGGACTTAGATTCAATTTGATGCATGCTTGTTTTTGGATGTTCCAGTTCATTGAGTTGGCCTTATCTCACTCGCAGCTGAAACTCCTGTCAAGAATCCAATCCTCACATTTGTTCCTTCAAAAGTTGACAATTTTGAAATGATACTGTGAGCTCCAATATATTTTGGTTTAACATTATCTTACTTACCTGGCAGTATCATGCAGGGTATCAAGAACAAATGTCACACTGGCCTGAGCAACCTGTAAATGTAATCATAAAGTGGCTAAAAGATCATAACCGTTCGTTTGTTGTTGCCGATTTTGGCTGTGGTGAGGCCTTGTGAGCTCCATCCATCATTTCTTACTCTTGCTAGTTTCTGATGGGATTGTGTCAGGTGGATGCTATAAATGTTTTGATGGTTTGTTCTCTTTCTTCTTGCTTAATTGATCCAGGAGACGCACGCCTAGCGAAGAATGTGAAGAATAAGGTGTTCTCTTTTGATCTCATTTCCAAGGATCCTTCAGTAATCGCTTGTGATATGTCAAAAGTATGGTACTCACTGTCAATTATTTTTGTATCCATTTTTACATACAATGCATAAGCTTTTCTCCACAAATCTCTGTATCTGATTGCTGCTACTTCCTTGCAGACCCCCCTTGATTCTTCAGCTGTAGATGTAGCTGTGTTTTGCCTTTCACTGATGGGCACTGATTATCCAAGTTACCTTAAGGAAGCACACCGAGTGCTTAAGCCAGGGTTCGTGTTCCATATGGCAATTTCAACTTTCTAGATCCTGATCATTGTGCATGCGGATTCATGTTTTATTCTTGCAGTGGTTGGCTTCTGATAGCAGAGGTAAAAAGTAGGTTTGATCCAATTACTGGAGGGACAGAGCCAAATAAGTTCGTGAAAGCCATTTCCGAGTTGGGATTTACATCTGTGCTGAAGGTTCATCATCAACATCTAAACTGTCTTTATAACAACAACAACAACAACAACAAAAAATCTAAACTATCAACCTTGTTAAATTAACTTTCTTAGTCCCGTACTGCTAACTCCTGATTTGATTTACACACAGGATTTCTCAAACAAAATGTTCATTTTGTTCCATTTCCAGAAGAAGGTTAGTTCCCAGTTCTCACTTCCTGACCAACATGACATTCAATATAACTTGTTAGATATTGATTGTTTGTGTGTTCAAATCTTTGTAGGAGAAACGGGAAAGCTCGAAGAGTAAAGCAATTGAGTGGCCGGAGTTGAAGGCTTGCTTATACAAGCGTCGGTGATATCGCAAAGTCCAAAGCGTTGTGGTTTGAAATGACACTATTCTTAAGATATACAGCTTCTGAATCTCTTATTTATAGCAAGTATCTCCCTTTGGTTGATGAAATTCCTTGGTTTTTGCACGAAACTAAGGCCTGGCAAGTTTAAGGAATGAGAAAATTCTACAGTTTGTCGGATGAATCCTTTTCAATTTGGGCCAAAATACTCATTTTAGAAAATGTGCCAATTAATTGAGGAAATTTGCACAAAATCTATTGTTTGGACTGGATAGCGAGATGAGAATGTGGGTGAATCAATTCGGCTAATTACTAATTTTGTTTTAGTCTTATTCACCCATGACCACAAAAATATAATTTTGTAGCTCGTGTAGCGGGTCTGGTTTGGTTAGGTTTAGCTGATATGGAGGGTTTAAATGATGTGGCGGGTCGGGTTAGTCAATTTTGGGGTTAAAAAGTGCTGATTAGGCAAATTCGTCAGCCACATCATCACTTAACGGACGCCGTTAACGGCGTTGGACGGCAGCTAACGGAGAGTGACCATAAATCAACGGTTTTTGTAAAGTTAGTGACCAAAAATGGATTTAAATATTTAGAGTGACCAAACATGAACGCTTTTTGTAATCTTAGTGACCAACCATGCAATTAACCCCTCCTTCCCCTCTCTTATTTCTGAGTACTAGGTCGACGTCCTAATTATCACTGGACCAGTTTAAGTAGCCCCCTAGTAGCAATAATGCACATGGGCGTGACCATTCTTAATTACTACATGCAAATTGATGCGATCATTACAATCTTCAGCTTCTACAACTCCACACTCCACGACTTCTATACCCGAGCCTTGAGGCGAGCCGGGGGGAATGTTCCTCCTCAAGGGACCTAGCTTCATCAGCGCTGATTACATGGCCACATGCGATCCGGCCAACATCAACCACATCTTCAACAAGAACGCCGCCAACTACGAAAAGGGCCAGGTTTTCAAGGCCATAATGGAGCCTTTGGGAGATGGAATCTTTAATGTCGACGGGGACTCGTGGAAGTTCCAGAGGAGGCTCTTTCATTCTTTGTTGAACGACCCCGAGTTCGAGGGTCATGCCGTGCAGAGCCTGACAGAGAAGATGAGGGACACCCTTATGCCGATCCTCGACAGAGCAGACAAGACCGAGTTGGTGGTGGACCTACAGGACGTGTTTAAGAGGTTCTTGTTTGACAACATGTGCCTGTTGGTCTTCGGATTCGACCCCCAATACCTCTCTGTTAGCGGATCACTCCTTGACAGTGCATGTGTGGCAAGGCATTCGACCAACTGGAGGAGGTGGTGATCTACCGATTCATAGTTCCAATGTGCGTGTGGAGGCTTCAACGCCGACTTAAGATTGGAATGGAGTGGAAGTTCATTCGAGCTTGGAGCACCCTGGATCAGTTGCTGTATGGTAGCATCAACAGGAAGAAGCAAGAATTAGCGACCAAAAATTTCGTCGACAATGATGTGCATAAAATAAACAAGATGGATTTGGTGACCCAAATCTTGATCATGGAAGATGAGGATGACGGTGGTGACGAAAAATTCATTGATAAAACATCGAACAAGTTTTTGAGGGACACTGCATTTACCTTAATTGCAGCAGGGAGAGACACTGTCGCTGCCGCCCTTACTTGGCTGATATGGTGCGTGGCGAACCACCCCGTTGTTGAGAAAAGGATTCTTGAAGAGCTGAAACAAGTGATGGCAGTGCGACCATCAAGTGCAATTGATGATGGTAAGATAAAATATCGAAAAATAGATATATACACATATTTTTCAGTCTTTTAGATACTAAATGATAGAAACAATTTGTGGTGAAACAGGAGAAGAAAAAGGAGGATTTTTTAGAAATGACGAGTTGAACAAACTGGTGTATCTCCATGCAACCGTCTGTGAGACATTGAGGTTGTATCCACCGGTGCCATTCGAGCACAAGTGCACCGTGGAGGCAGATGTCCTTCCAAGCGGGCACACGGTACGTAAAGAAGAGAGGATAATATTCTCCATATACGCTATGGCCAGGATGGAGGAGATATGGGGAGAAGACTGCTTGGAGTTCAAACCAGAGAGGTGGATTTCTGAGAAAGGGACAATACTACATGTCCCGTCATACAAGTTCATGACCTTCTTGACTGGCACAAGGACCTGTTTAGGGAAGAATATGTCATTCACGCAAGTCAAGTCCCTGGCTAGTGCTCTCCTTTGGAACTACAAGTTTGAACTCATAAATGATGGTTGCTCTGTTAAGCCGGCGGTTGGCATGGTGTTGTTCATGAAAGATGGGCTGAAGACGAGAGTCTCCAAGAGAGACCATTGGTAATATGTTCATGTTGCCTTCTTAATGTATGATTGGTTGTTTTTGTGGTCTCGTGGAAGTGCTAATCGTGTGAGCTCTTCTTATTTTTATTATTTATGTTGTCCATGCGTTTTCCTATCCAACTGGAAGGAACGAAAACCGCCATTCTATTCTTGTGTGTAGTTTTGTTGTACTTTTTATTTGTTATACTATTCATATATGTTATCATGGGATACTTAAAGAACTGAATTTCAAATATGGTATCACATATATGTCATCATATTCCTATATTTACTAGGCCATTCTCTATATAATACTTCTTTGATTTTAAGAAAAAATTGAAGGGGAAAATTGTCTTACAAAGGATGAAGGAGATTGAATTTGGACTTGATGTTCCGGTTTCTCTGATTGTAGCAACAGAAAACAAGCTACAAAAATTAATTTTGAGGAAACAAGTTGTCATTAAATGTGAAAGAAAATCTAGAGAAAATTGAGAATTTTTTAAGTTTTCAAGTTGGATTTTCAAAATGAAAACTTGTTTAATTACTACATATTGTTTTCTATACTTGATTTCTACATTCTTTTCCATTAAGTATCACACAACTCTAATCATGATTTCAATTTTTGATATCAATCACAATTTTTTAAAGTACGATTATTTTAAACGTACATACTATAACAAGCCGATATATAGGAATGCTGCCAACTCACAGTTTGGTACATATAATAATGTGATGCGTTTACGATATCTAATTTACTTCTACTCCTAAAAGCGAGAGCGAGTATGGTGATTACTATGCAGTAAAAAGTAAATTTGGTATGAAAAATATTTACTAAAACATAATAATACCACTGCAAAAACATAATAATACCACTGCAAAAATATATCCTTTCTTTTTCTCAATTTTTTCATTGTTATCATTCAGCCGAACTAATACCACTAAAAAATAAAACAAGAAATCAATACCAATCGATTAGATAACCACTACCACTTTGAAAAACACCAATACCATAACAACAAAAAAAATCAATACCAAAACATAAAAATACTACCACTACCGAACATATACCACTTATTAACCAGTGTCATTGTAGATTTAGCTAATACCAATGCATGAAAGATCACTACCAACACAATAACATCAATGCAAAAAAATAATATCATTACATGATAATCAATACCAATGCAAAAAAAAAAAAAAAAATATACATTACGAAAAAATAAATAGCAATATGAAAAATACATATCAATAAAAAAAATTCAGTTCTTGAATCCAGCCGAGGGTTGATGAATAGTTCTTTGTCGATCTCCTTCGGTAGGTTTATTTCCTTGAGACTGCTAAACCTGTCGTAGAAGGCAGTGACAACCAGGGGCAAAGCCATAGACAGATAAGGGGGTTCCATGACACTCCCTTACCTTTGAAGAAAAGCACAAAAAATTAATAATACTAGTATGTTAATAATGATTTTTAAATTCTTAATATCAATGTCAATAGTCAAATATTCTATCGTTAAACCACAACAAACTATATAAATTAATTTGGATAATGTCTATTTTTTATCCAAACTTTTTCAAAATTTTTATATTAGCCAAACCTATTAAAATGCTATTAATTAGCCAAATCTTTCATAATGCATCAAAATATTAGCCATTTTAGGTTATCGTTTATAATTTTGTAACTCTTTTCTTAGTTAAAATACTAAGTTTTTGGAATGTTGACCTTCGTGTGTCTCTTTCAAGTTAGTATCATGTTGCAAAGTCAATATTACTAACAAAATTACTAACTGTAAGTTAACATTTGGCTAATTCTTAGTATTTTGATAGGTTTGACTAATAATAAAGAATCCAAAAACGATTTGGCTAATAAATAGTCATTATCCAATTAATTTCATCTACTAATTTCTACATTTCTACCTTCTAGTTTATCAAAATGGATAAGACGTGAAAACTATTAGAGCAAATCATTAAATTTTTGGGTGTGCCTACGGTGACATGCATGTCACGGTGACTTGCACTTTCCGGTCGACCTCAGTTAGGATTAGGTTGACCTCATATAGAATTCGGTCGACCTCATATAGGATCCGGTCGACCTCATTTAGGATTCGGTCGACCTCATATAGGATCCGGTCGACCTAATATGTTGTTTCAGTGTAAAAACAGTTCATGGTGCCTACTTTGAAGCATTAAAGATATTCAATCTTTCATTCAATGCCTTGCCTTTGTATAAAAAAATACGTAATTTAACGTGGTAAATGCCCCTGGACTTGACTCGCATCCATGCTTGTCAAATTGAGCTCCAAAGTAGGCTTGACAAACACGTTGCCAGACTTAGCCATTTTCAGGCAGTTTCCCAGTTTTGGCATAGCCTTTTGGTCAGGTTCAAAAATGGTCTTCTGAACTTTCTATTGAGCTCCCAAGTACTTTAATGTGTAGAGGGACACTTCAGCTTCAAAACAAGCCTTTAGTCTCCAATTTCCATCTAGCTAATTGTAAGATATGAATCTCCAAAGTAGGCACCATGAAACTGTTTGTACACTGAAACAACTTATTAGGTTGACCTGATCCTATATGAGGTCGACCGAAAAGTGCATGTCACCGTGACATGCATGTCACCGTAGCAACGTCCTAAATTTTTATGACAGCGATAGTCGGAAGAGAAAATTAGTTTTCATCAATTTATTTGATTGTGAATATTGATTTGATTTGTTACTGCCAATTGTCAATGCACAAGTTGATAACATATTATGCAGTGAAACGATTGACCAGCCTTTCGCATCAAGTGAATTAAACTTGTGAATGGTTATTTGGTGCGATATATTAAGTGTGAAATCTTGATAGTATGACCGATTCATCTAGTTTTAGAATAATTTAACAATATGAAACATGAAACTGTATATGTAAATTTTTGTATGGCACCCCCTTAAATAAAATCTTGGCTATGTCACTAATGACAACGACAGTGTCACTGAACGCCGGTAAGAGCGGCATAACCAGTTTGCCCAATCCCTTGGCTGTGCAAGGGGAAGCTTTGTATTCGAGGACGACTGTGACAGTGGCTTTATCGGGAACTATAGTGGTGGTGAATGGCTTGACGTAGGAGATGGGGGGGGGGGGGGGGTGTGGCAGTTGGAACCTGGAAGAGAGTAGAGTGGGGTTACTTTAGGTCTTAAGAAGCAACAATCACATGTATTTTTTTTCAATATTATGTTTATCGCAATTTTGGCCGTCAAATTAAAAAAGAGAAAAAATAAGAAAAATAAATTGTATAGAGTTTAGTAACTACCATGACTAATAAAATAATTGTGACCGTGCTAACACATCCTATTTTGTTATATCATAGTATGTATATGACCTTTTTGTTACGTTTTAAATGTTTGTAACAAATTTGTTACTGGCTCAAATTTAAGGGACCATTTTTATCAATTACCCGAGAAAGAATGAAGTAGCAAAGCAAGAAAAATTATTTAATATCGAAAACCCTAAAAAATATTCTTTCGATTTAGATTGAAAAGGAAGAACAAAGAGAGAGGGAATTGAAGACGGGGGCAAGGGGAAAGACCGAAAGAGACGAAGTTGACTGAACCCAGCTGGGCACTAGGGTTCTATAAGAGAGATAAGGCCGCCGCCGTCGCTGGCGTTCAGTCGTCATCGTCGTCGCTGACGGTCTTTCATCACCGCAACCAAGAGAAAGATGGCCGAGCAGGCGATTCTCAGCTACTTGGAGACCCACGAGGAAATAGCCGATTCTGGCAACTTCGCTGCAGAATGTGGGATCGACCACGCCGAGATTGTTAACGCCATCAAGAGTCTTCACGGTTTTCTCTACGTCGAGTCTCAGGTACTTCTCACTAGTCTGTACTTCCTTGAACGGAAATGGAGGATTGCGCCAATTTGTGGTCCGCTTGTGATAGAATTGGGGTTCCTAGCTTTCTCTTATAAGGCCATATACGAAACAGTGTCGGAGTGACAGAATTTCGTTTCTTACACGATAGTTTTAAGCAATCAGGTCCCCAATCGTAGACCAGATAGAAATTTCGGCAGAGGGCTGTCTTTTGACTGTCGTGCGTCTTCCAAGAATGCATGTTCTGAGTCGCCATTGTTGATTTGGTTAAGATAAGAGCTTGTCTGACGTTGTTGAGACTGGAGACTAAAGATTGTTCTTTTCAACTCGCAGGACATTAAAAAGGAAACCTGGGTTCTTACTGATGAAGGAAAAAAATATGCTGCTGAAGGCTCACCTGAAGTTCAACTGTTCTTGGCTGTACCAGCGGAAGGCAGCATCGCTAAAGATGAGCTGCAGGTTGCTGTAACTCATTGCTTTTATTTTATGGCCCCTAAGTATGCATATTCAATGCTACTGTGTTTATGAATCTTGAAGTCTAACCTTTTGTAAGCGATATAATTGTGCATTGCTCAACTCAAAAACGAAGAATTTCAACGTTTAAATAATAATTGAAATATGGTTTTGAAGTAATTGTTAAGACTTGCTGACTTGTTCTGGAACCATTTCTCATGCAGAAAAAGTTTGACCCTGCAATTTTCAAAATCGGCTGTTCTCAAGCTGGGAAGAACAAATGGGTGGAAATGGGGAGGCAGGTCTCGAGGAAGGTAACTGAAACTTCTTCACGCTTTTTTCTTTCTTTCGAAGAACCTTCCACTTGTTAGTAAGATGGGGGAACACCAGGAGTACTTTTCAGAACAGAATCACCTACTCAAAACTAAGAGGAGATTGTCTTGGAATTAAAGTTAAAGTCTTTCTGTAAGTATTTTGAACCTTGGACATTTCCCTTGATTAATATTTGTTTGCTTCTTTTGCTTCGCGGTAGGTAGTTCAAGTGGAGGACAAGGTGAAAGATTTACTTTTGAAGATACAGAAGGGACAGGTTTGCAGTTTTATTACCTGCAGTGCCAATAAATGTTTGAATTTCTTGGCCTCAATATTTGGCATTTCGATTCTATATTTCCTGGAAGCTCTTTTTTATTATGATAGGTTCGGTTGATATTAGCCATTAGAATTTTGTTCGTTTTTTTGTCCTAATTATAATATGGTACCCACAATACAATTCTATTGTTGTGAGTCATATTTATCCTTGCTCTGTTTAGCTTGATTTGTGATCAATTAGAATCCTTATTAAATGCATGTCAATGTTTTATGTAGAAATGAAATCAGTAAGACGCAGAT